AAATTTGGGGGGGGGGGGGATATGAACACATTGTTCAAGGGATTTCAGGATACCAGCAAATCTTTATTGGGGGAGATCTAAATGGACTTGTAGGTAAAGATAGGGATTGCTTTGGCCGAGTATATGAGGGTATGGTTATGATATTAGAAATGACGAATGTAAGGCTGTTCTAGAGTTCATTTTAGCTTATGATTTAGCTGTAATTTACACATCATTTGTTTATCTTTATTTGTATTTATACTATTTATAGAAGTGAGAAACCCTAAAAGATGAAGACCAAAATACTTTACTAATATTTATTTTGTATTTTAATAATAATTAAATGCAAAACTGAAAAATATTACTCTATCCGATCCAATTTATATAAAACTCTTTCCTTTTTAGTTGGTCCCAAAGAGAACATCACCTTTTTATAGTTGGTAACAATTCAACTTTAAACTTTCCATTACAAGTTTCGAAAGTCTTCCTTTCCTTTTTAAACTCCGTGCCCCGTCAAACACCTTCACATAAATTGGGACGGAAGAGTAGTAATTTGTATTACATCTTCTCTAAATAATTGTCTCCTTTATTAGTGACAATTTTTTTTTAAAAAAACAATTTGGCTGCTAGAAAAGAACTTTCAAACCTTTTATTGAAAGGACACAACTCTTTGCTTAATTATTTTATAAATATGTTTTTTAAGTGTGGTTTTAATGGTTGGGATTATGAACTAATAAATTAGTGCTAGTATTTGAAGGAATAATTCATTCTTGTCCACAAATTGGATTGAATATTGAAAATTAAACATAACGGAGAAAATAAAAATGCTACACAGAACAAGTTTTTGATAAGAAATGGACTAAATATTCACTAGGCATTATCAAGTCATGTTTATTTTATTTTCATAAGATGAGCATATTCAATTTCATATTGCAAAAGCCACATTCATACTCTTGAAAATTGTGACTTTTGTAAACTGTAATTTTTGCGACCCTTTGTTATTTATATGCAAGATACAAAAGGGTTTTGTATCTTACTACTCAACATAAACTCTTGGTAATGGATTTGAGAGATTAAGAGAAAGTGGAAGAGAACTAAAGAGGGTTTTGTATGACCTTCTGAGGATCAAATGAGGTAGCTTGACTCTTGTCAAAGCTCAGGAGATTGGGGAGAAGTTGTTGGCCATGAGGGCTTGGGGGGAGTACTAAGGATGCAAGCTGTATGCAGGATAGGACAGTGAATTGCATTATGGAGGTAGCTAGAGAGGTGTTGGGGATTTCGAGGGGATTGATAGTCAAGTGGAGTGGTACAATTATTTACTATCTATGTAATTTCCAATTTGATATCCTAGATTATCCCTCTCTTAAAGACACATGTTAGCTTTAGCTAATGTGTATCATTATGTAGCTGCTTCTGATTTCCTATATTATTTAATATTTTGTTTTGACTGTTGATAATGTTTCCCTACAAATACTCTGTTTGACTTTTATTATATAATCTTTGAATAAATAATTTTAGAAAATAGTGGTAAGGTCTGTGTACACTTTACCCTCCATAGATCCCACATAGTGGGATTTCGCTGGAGTATGTTGTTGTATGGAATTTCCATATTAATTTTGTTTTATTTTGATTTTTGATTTTGGGATTGGAGCATCATAAGAATAAGAAAATATTATTTCAAATGGTGCAAAGTTTATTGACCTCTAATATCTATGGGCCCTCGCTCTACAAATACTCTTCTTTACACTGCCTTTTCTTTGTTTTAACTACCAATTTATTTTCAACGACATAAGTTTAAAAAGAAAAAATGATCCGCAAAATGTGTTAATAAGTTGTTCCAATTGAACAATCTCAATATTTGCTATTTTTCAGGACAAGTTTTGTGAGAATTCTTGATAATATAAATAGTGAAGGGCCAAACTTATCCCTGATCTAATGGATTTGTTTTAAGAATGTCCATCAACATTTTTTTTTTGAGTATCAGTCCCCAATCACCCACAATGCCGCTAAAAACTAACAGACCTCTGTACACTCAAATATAGTGGCTTACATGGCAGTGTGTGAACAGTTCAGATGTAAGCCATAAATAAATTTTATTACCCGACCTATATTATATATTGGTCTGATTAAACCCATATAGCTTCCATTTTAGTTTCTTCTGACTAGAGTGCTTCAATTCTTCTTCTCAAAGTCCTTGTTCATCCCTCTTCTTAATCCATTTCTTCTATAAGTTCAAAGCTAGATACAAGTGCATGATTTTGCAAGTAAAAAGGTTTATTAGGCTCTTGGCTTTAAGGACATATAGGAGTTGTGATGCCATCAGAACATCTTTTAATCCTCTTATTCCAGATCCACCAAAAAATACAAGCAGGCATCATTTGCCTAGATATTCATGATGGATTTTCCAATTCTCCATGAACACCAACACTCATATGCTTCCTTTACATTACTAGGCATGATCCATGCCACTCTAAAAAGTGAGAAGAACATGCTCCAGATATCAGTTGTAACTTCCTGATGAAGTAAGGAGATTTCTGGCACACTCTCAATCCATCTGATAACCTAGAAAGGTATTTTGTGTTAAACATGCTATTAGATATTCTAGATATGGTGTTTTACTAGGACAAGCCAATCAGGATTAAGCTAGCAAATGCCTTCTTTTTTTGAGATGGCAACAGACTATATAGCACCAATAGATGCAGTAAACCATATTTAAAAGAGATCAAAAACTTTCAAAAAGGCTATAATATACTATACAATTTTAAACTTGCCAATTCCAAAAAAAATATATACTATACAATTTTAAAAAGATTCCAAAATCTCCAAAATAGATTCAGTGTCTGAAGAAAATTCTTCTTTACATAAAAAATAAACAACAAAAGTGATTTCATCTTGATCTTCTAGATTGAGCTATTGGTCTCTTCAAAGCATCTCAGATTTCTCCATCTCGACAGTCCACCAAATACAGGATGGTATCATTTTCCATCTGCTTTTCTGCCAAGGCTAACCTTCTCCCCTGTTCCAACATTTCAGTAAATCCGGAGAGTGATTTGGCATTACCCATGAAATCCCTTTCATACATAGATAGATATTCCAAATTTGTACTGTCACATTACAGTGTAGGAGTAGTGACAATTAGTTTCAGGTTCCTTGCCACAACGATTGCATGTGGAACACTCTTTATTAGATTTTCTTGGGTTAAATAAACTTATTTCACCACCAACCAAACAAAACAAGCCACTTTGTCTATGACTCTTGACATTTCAGATATTCTTCCATGGCCATACCTCTGTCATATTGGGAGCTCCATTCAGCAAACACAACAATCTCTAACTTTGTTAAATCCCTTTAGCATTTCCCAGCAACCACAACATGTCTTCACTTTGCTCCAAACCCATTCTCTTCTGCATAAAACTAACATATAGATTCCCGCTTAACTTATGTTGGTATTAGTATGCGGAAAAGAACATTGGAACCAAATATTGTATTAAACAATGCCATGTTTTATGTGGAGGGGATAGGTAAAACCAAATATTTTGACAATATTGAATTTTATTTGGTGATTATTCTTTCCACTAGTCCCAACGTAACAGCACCTAACATTTTCTTCTCAAATGCCCATAAATTGGAAAAGCCTGAAATAAAGACATCATCCAATGTGCCATAATATGTTTATGCTGCTTTATGAAAAAAAAACAATTTGTTGTGCTGACAGCCCCTTTCTTTCACCCAGAATAAGGGCAGGGCAAAAAAGGCAAACACGTGGAATATTTATTTGAGCCATTTTTTTCCTTGCAGAAATCTCATGTTGAAGTTCTGCAACGCTGAGATACTGAGAGAATGGATGACTTGGCTGTTTCATGGTTGCTGAGATAACTGAGTTCATCTTTAGATCTAGTGATGAGTTTTAAGTTAATCCTAAAAGAATTTAGCAGTACATACTGACAATGGATAGGTCCAGTCAGAGACTGGCCGTTGGTGAGTCCCCTGGTTTATGTAGTATTTGGCATTTGTCGCTGTTTCCTTTTCGCTGTATGTTTGTTGGATAAGCTGTACAAGGTTATGCTCTATGGTATTTGGATCTATATTCATCTGCGGCATATGGTAATGTGGGCGTTGGTCATGGGAGAAGTGATACCTAAAGATGTCACCCAACATGTTAAGTGACGGAGTAGTCATTTTCGGGCACTTATATCAGATGTTCAACCACTGTCTCGGTATGTGTGTAGCATGTGTACCAGAAGCATTGTACTCCTTTCAGCTTTTATAGCTTTTCTCCTGTTATGTTAGCGTTTGGAATGATGAAGCAGGTTATGTCTGCATGGAATGTAGTCAATTTGGCTGAATGTGAAGAGTATGGTTTTAATTTTATCTATTTCCGGATTTGAATAATTGAATCTTTTTTGTCTTGCCTCTATTTAAGTTGTAGTTTGTAAAGTTTTCTATTTGTGGTAGAAGAAGATCCATTATTACCCCCTCTACTATATGAAATATCTTAATTTTATCTTATGCTATACTGTGGTCAATCATACAATTAAGGTCGAGGGCAGATAGATGATGGAAAAATTGCAAGTGGACCTAAAGTAGGACGGAAGTTAAATTTAAACATGTATCATATGGTTGAAAGGTATTTTCGACCCCTTTTCCTTGCCAGTTCTAATTTGAGTACTTTTTCGGATCACATATTGAGATTTGAGCATGGAGAGATCGAACTGACATTATTTCACTCAGACTTGTTGAAGTGGTTCAACAGTTGTACGTCGAACAGATTGTGGCAATGCCTGCATCTATCAACTCATTATAACTTACAAACTACACATGAAGTATTACTGAAGGAGGACGCGTTATCTATCATAAACACTTTATTCAACATGACTAGTTTTCATATATACAGAGTAGAAAGCAGAGAGAACCAAATTGCACACTTATTATAGAATAGAACACACATTAAAAAGCAGCAGCATGAAAATTACAAAGTGAAAAGTTATTTTTTCATAATCTTCACATAGCTCATAACATCATTAACATCCACAGCATCCAAGAAGCTGCTTCTTAGGGGTTTGCCCCGTAGCGCGATACCTGGCTGCTGTCTCCTCTGCTTTCAGAAATTCTTCCCCTCGTCTCGCTTCAACCACAGCTCTCTTCTCATCTGCCTCCTGACGAATTAACGCTACTTCATTTTTTATCTTCTCTGCATATTCTGCTTTCTTATGCTCTAGTTGATCCTACAATTTTTATCAACACAGACAGTAGATCAACGCGGTCAAATATTAATCAGACGAAGAAAATGTTCAAAAGTGTTTTGATTCCTAGCCTAAGCCTAAACAAACGGTCTTAAAAATCACAGTACATTACTTAGTTTCATCAAAGATGCACGTATACTCGGACTCTTAAGTATAGTTACCTCAAGTTGCTTCAGTTTAGCTTCAAGCTTTGCTGTATGAGTTTTCTCCCATGTTGCAACTGCAGAGAGCTTCTTTTGTGCCCTACTCAAATAATAAAAACAATGACGCGTTGATTATTCACATTACGTATGAACACTTATTGAAAGTTGAGAATCCTACTTGTTGTTCACTTTGCTTTTTTTGCTTTCTTCCCATGCCTTGATGAAAGATGATCTTTTCTCATTTTCAAGCTGTGAAAGAGCAATATCTGAATAAAAACATGAAATAAAGCTCATGTTAAACATCTGAGATATGATCACTATACGCATTGTACAGTGTCTGCCAAAACTGGTAAACATTTAGATGTATGTAATACATACCTCTGTCAAGAGATCCTTTTGAACCCTTCTTTGATGAAACATCGGTATCTGATAAAATGAGGAAACAACAACATCATATCTCACGATATCAGAGAATCACAGCGAGTATCCAGAGAACGGATAGTCTCTTAGAGAGAACAAGCCCCTCAAGATATATGCAATGCTAATCCGGTGACTTAGTAATTTAAAAATCGCATCGCTGTACAGAAAAATGACAACTATACTGATAGTTTACTAGCTGTGAAGTTATTTATCAGGCAATGAATGAGGACAAACATCTGCCAAGTTCATTTTGGATTCTGAGAAAAAACTATGCAATAATTTGAGAAACGATGAGCCAAGAAAATAGTACTCGTACCAACAACAACTACTACGGCTCAGTTCCAAACAAATTAGTACTCCTATCATTTCAAAGAAATTGAAGGGATTCAGTGTACATCCTCAAATTTACTATTTGGTCTCAACTAAGCCTTTGATGTATCCTAAATCTTTTAGAATAAAATTTACATATTTAGAAATTACTACTATAGTACCACCATCGCGATGTTCTTTTAATTGAGTTTCATATCTAACCTATTCATTACATGGTTGATTGAAGTTGAAGAACAAGCAAAACCGTTATTAAATATGTGCAAATTATTTAATTTAGTTTGCACATCAAAGTGTAGATCGAGCGTACAGGTTCGATCGAACTCAATAACTTTAGTTTGAAAACATTGTATTTCTTTTAAGAAATTTATTAAATATGTGCAAACTATTTAATTTATAACTCAATAACTTATAAGAACTGTAATCTCAATATAATAACAAAATCAGTTGTGATATTATATAGCCCAAAGTTATCTCATACATATAATAAAATTATTAATTAAACTCATGAAATTCATCAGATAACTTTGTTTATCTCATCCCTTATTGAACGCTCCCCAACATACTAGAAAAGGAACCATAGTACTATTATATATTACTAACAATAATTATGTGTGAAATTCCAAAAATGAGGTCTTGGGAGAGCAGAATATATGTAGATCTTATTAAGACCTTGTGAAAGTGGAGAAACATTTTTTTTTTCTAAAGATCTTCAATTAAAATGCAACAAATCTAAGTATCAATAAGAAAAAAAAATACAGCACCTACAATAAACAACCATTACAATAATAAAATACCAACAAGCCTAAATAAGTTGAAACTCAAAATATAAAAATAATAATGAGCACCTAAATATTAAAAAAAAAACACAAAAAATTGTAAATATATAGAGGAGAATATAAATAAGCATAATACATGAACATACTCTTAAATTTGACCTCATTTATGTTGGGTATATACAGATTGCATAACAATTTATGCTCTCCAACTTTTTGGTTTGCATAACTAGACAGTTAAACTTGTATAAAATTGAACAAATAGATATACACGTCCAACGACACGTCCTACATGAAAATATTTGTCCTAGTTTCCTACATGTATTATGCCAAACTCATATGTCTACTTATTCAAACTTATACAAATTTACTGAAAATTGGAATGCAAAAATATTAGTTGAAGTCAAATTAAGTAAAATTAAAGCACATATTTATGTATTATACGTATACATAATATACCTTGATGTGTGAGAGGTTCATGAGGTAGAGTAGTAGTAGTAGTATGATGAGGAGGTGGTGGTGTGGGAGTAACGACGTCGTTTGGAGTAGCTATGGATGCAAGTGGTGGTTCTTGCTTTATTTGCGGTGGCACTTCTGCTTCCATTTCTTCCTATTTAGTTTTCAACAAACTCTCTCTTCAATTCCTTAATTTCTAACAACCATGTTTAATGTTTTTCCTTCAAAAAAATATGTATATAAGTAATATTTTATTAGCAATTGATAATATTTTAACAATAATTTTTGAAGGATAGTTCCAAAAATCCCACCGCTTATTATTTCATCACCATCTATTTATGGGGTATCGTTTTGATTATCAAAACTTAAAAGAGATATGTAAAGAAAATTATGAATGACTAGTATTAATGAATGGAGTTTTTTTTTTTTTTACTTATATTTAAATTATTAATTACTATAATTTATAATATTTTATTACTTAATTTTTAAATAAATAACTTTTAATTTTGTTAAAATCTGATATTTGATTTTATGGTTAAAGTCAATATACCTTTCGGAATCGCTCACGGGTCGATTTGGATCGGTTATTGATCAAAATTAAAACCAAACAAGCTTAATCGGTTTTAAAATTATCAAAATTAAACCAAATCAAATATAATATATATTTATCGATTTAGTTGTTATCGGTTCCTCGATTATTCGATTATTAAAACTTAGACAAAAATATAGAAACCGTTCATTCAAAACGTGAAAGAAGTGACAACAATTCATTCAAAACAAAAATAGTTAGAATGCCTGATATTACATAACTTTCAATTATTGAATTTACTATGAATAAAGCTTTAAAATTCATTATTTTAGCCTAGAAGGAAGAGACTGACATTTTCAATCTCATAAAGAATTGTCATATATACTCATATACATGAAACTAATAAGATAAATATTCTCACTTTGGGCATTTTGGCTTTCATAAGTAAATTATAAATAAATTTTGATAAAAACACATATAATATCTTTAAAATTGCTTATAAAAATCATATATTATGTATGTATCATATAAAATATATGTATACAATTTATCGGTTTGATTATATTATTTTTTTGTTTTTTTTTCAAACAAAAGCATAATCAATTCAATTATTATCAATTTTTAAGAATCTAAAACCAAATCATACCTAAGACAACTAAAATCAATTTGATTCAATTTTTTCAGTTTAGATCAATTTTTATTCAAATCGTTGATGCTACATAAACAGAGTGAGGGAGTATTTATTTAATATCCAAATTCAGCAAAACAACAAAAATATTATGTGGCTGATTTTTGTATTTGGAGTAATTAAATGTTTTTCGAGCATAGAGTACGGTGGCTTACGATGCTGGAAAACGTGGCTTTTGTATATTCTGCCACCGCCATGTAAACATGGATGTCAGCTAATCAACTGTAAAGTATTTGCGGCTACAAAAGCGTTAACAATAATATATTTAATGTAATTTTATAAATAAAATATTATAAAAGTGATATGTGTCTAGTAATTTTTTTTTTGGAACTCCAGGATAATCCGCAGCCGCTTCAATCTCTGTTACAGTCTTTGCCTTTCGGGTGAGCACTTTGTGCGCATTGGATAAACTCCTCACTGTGTAATAGCCTGCAAACCACACAGAAGATGTAAACTGCACTAGGCAAGCTCTATGCGACAGGCTCGACTCAAAAGACATTGAGGAAGAATCGATCCCGGGTCATTTGTGTGGATAACCACCCTCCAAAACTGAGCCATCCCGAAGGACTAGTTAAACTATTTTTAATAAGGAAAAATTGAATGAAATAGAAAACTATTTATTCAAATTAAATGTTATAGCCATAGTTTATTTTATTTGTAATTCACAGCAATCATCCCATTTTTTTGCCATCTGATTCGATATACAATTAGCCATTTTTGGTATACAAATGTATAAAATGCGTTTGTATTTGTATAAAGCGAGAGAAAAGTGTATATACAAAGATAAATACATATATTTTCGTTCTATACACTTATAATTATACAAATACAAATCTTATTATACAAATTACAATGTATAAATGAATTTATACAAAACTGAACAATTTGTATAAAATTGGATGTATCTAGCGAATTATACATATTACAATGTATAAATGAATTTATACAAAACTGAACAATTTGTATAAAATTGGATGTATCTAGCAAATTATACAAATCAAAAGCTCCATAGCAAATATAAAATTTGTTATGGAGCGCAATTATGCAAACTATAGCTATAATATACAAATATAATTTTTATGTTTGCTATATTTTAATAATCCTTCGATTTAAAAAAATACATATTTTAAAGCAATTTTGAAAAAAAGAAAAAGAAAAAAGAAAAGAAAGATATGACAATAAAAAAAAAATTACTCATAGTATTCAAACAAAAGAAAAACAAATAATAATGATGAAATATGCTATAATCCAAATGCAAGAAATATTAATGATCTTTTCGTAAAACTAAGGACAGAGGAATGGTGAATTCATGTTTTTTCTTTAAGAAAATTAGGTATTTTATGTACTTAAATTTTTATAATTTGTAAAATATTATTTGTAAAAATTCATGCTTTAAGAAGGTTGAATGGTGTATTTCACTAAATATTGAGTTATTTACCTAGAGAAATAGTCAATAAGGATCAATTTCCACATAATATTTTTTTCTTTTTTAATGGTGCACCCTTCTTCTAGAAATCCTAGAACCACCTCTGTCTTGGAAGACGAAAGGTATATTCTATAGCACAACCATAAAATCGACAATTTTATATGATAGTGAATGTTGAGTTGTTAAACTCAAACATATCCACAAGATAAGTGTTGCAGAGATACCAATGCTAAGATGAATGCTAAGATGAATGTACGATCATACCAAATTAAAAATGATTACATTCATCAAAGGTACAACTAACACACATTGAGGAAAAAATGGAAGAAAGCCCCTTAAGATGATTTGGACATGTGTAAAGTTAACCTACATATGCACGAATTTATAGTTGTGCAACTATGATAAGTGAATGTATTAAAACATGACGGAATAAACTTATAAGATCACCTGGAAGAAACTAAAAATCCTTCGTATCAATTCAGATTTAGCTAAAGATAAAACTTAGTTCATATATTATTTTTTTAGTTTTATTTATCCCGTATAACAAGGATGTGAAATTACCTTTAATGAAAAAATGGAGAGTCAAAAATCAAAAGCAAAAATTCAAGGAAAGAAAAGCCAAGGAGGAACAAAATTCAACTAAATAATATATATAAATAATATAAAGGATTCCATCACATTGTCACATGACCATGTTAATAGTTTACAAACCAAAAATTTCAAAAGACAAAACTGAAAAACATAGTTAAAGAAATCATAACACAATTCCTTAAAAACTAGTAGTAACAAAGAAAGGTCCAAGGCAAAGTAAATAAATATTTTTTTATATCGTATATAGTTGCCCACCAAAATAATAGCCAGTAAAATGTATATTTTCTGTATATTACATATAATATACAAAAAATATACATATTTTATACATAATTATGTATATATTTTTTGTATATTGGTGAGCGACTCTAATTATTTTTGGGCGAGCGACTAAATATGTTAAAAGCCCTTGATATAGTAATGAATAGAGGCCCAAAAAGTATGTAAAATTGAGAAAAATCAATGGATTCTTCCAATGAAGGTATCCAAACTCATCTCACTTGGATCAGTAGCTTGAAGTTCAACTTGTACACCATCTAATTCTCTCCTGAATCTGTCTTTTGAACTTGCATACAACATCTTACTTCTCACCCTTGCTGTCTCTGGTGACCTATATAAATACATTCCAACACTGTAAGCTCACACATAAAAAAAATTGTGAGCTCTTTAAGATATGTCTTTGTTAGATATCAAAATGTGAGTATATTAGTATTGCATTACAATTTTGTACATGTGGCATCCTAGATGTGATCTTTGAGACCTAAGTTGCACGGACTCTTCACTTTCCATGCCGCATTTGTGTCAGATTCTTCAAAAATACATTACTTTTGAAAAATCAGACATGCATGGATTGACATTTTCGAAGAGTCTGAGCAAGTTTGAAACTAGATTTAAATAATAGTATATAGGCATAATTTAGTCATTCCCTAAAGGTTGAATGGCCATCTAAGGTATTGCAACCTCATCAAGATTTGACTTTGTTAGATATCAAAACTATGTGTTCTTTGACAAGGTTTGGAGATTCACAATCTAAGAAGTAATACATATTGAATGATAGATAATTGGGTAGTTATGTAATTATGTTGTTCGGATCCTTCAAAAATGTCCGTTAGATCCTTTCAAATATGAAAAACTTTTGAAAGATCTGACATACAACGAACAACAATTTTGAAGGATCCAGGCAACAAAGTTAAATAGGTAGTGAAGATTTACCAAGCAACAAAGAAGATCCTGCTTTTCTGGACATTTTCATCAGTAGTCCAATCATAGTCAAAAACAGCATAACGGCATTCACTTGGAGGCATGCTATTAGCAAAATCATCATGTGTCTCTGCCTGTCCACCTACTTTCTCAACCACAACTTGCTGCACAGATTCATCAATCTTGAAAACTAGATACCTATGGTTCCTTTTTGCTTTCAACTCCAAGAACCTCAGCTTGCATTCATCACTCACTGCTATCCCTGATGCCGAATTCGCCTATCCAACAAAAACAAAGAACGATAGAAGACATACATAGAGAATAAACAAATCATGTCGCGGACTATGTTATTTCCTGACAGTGGCGGAGCCAGAAATTCTCATAAGGGAATGTAAGAATGTCACATTTTCGATTTGAACCTACGACCTAAAACAATTTTTGAGCCACCTTTGCTACTACACTAAAAGATTCCCTTATGTCAAAATGGATTTAACCAAAAAAAGGGTAGCCAGGAGCATGAAACATCTCGCGTTTACATAGGATTCTAGGGAAGGACCACACCCAAAAGGGTATAATGTTGTGATCTATAGGTCACACGAAGATCATTTTAACATTACTTTAAGGCTTCAATAATATATGAGACCTATTTACATAGTCATAAATTTACCAATGAATAGGATTCAATTGTATTTCCTTCGAACCATATAGCTTGGC